ATTGCAGAAATAAAACTCATGAAAGTTATGTTATTTAAAAAATATTTTGGGGCAGAATTTCATCTAAATCTAAGGAAAACAAATTAAAAATTGACAGCACTGCAATGCAAATTTGTACTACTTCGATGTACCATATCTTTTATATGTTTTTGTGTCCATTTTAGATTCTAAAAAAATCTTAATAGAAAATTCTACATTAATGTATATGTCTAATAATTATCTTGTTTTTGCAATACGGTGGTGTCCCCTACTTTATAGAGCAAGAAAGGAGGCTTCACAATATTTGCATGAAGCGGTAAGGAAAAGGAAAATCACAAAGCATTAGAGAAACAAACTGCAACAATGAATCAATCAGGGATTAAACTAGGCCTAGCTTCATAGGAAATCTATGAAGTTGAAGATCACTTTGTAACCAGAATTTACAACATGGGGAAGATGGATCTTGGCTTTGAAAATGAATCATTTTGTTCCTTCCAGATGTTTAATGCTACATAAATCATAATCTCCATAAAGCATGGGCTAAGAATGAGACATATAGGCTTATATAAATGACAACTATAATGACAACATCGAAAAGTGGTGGGTGGGCCTCTCCGACACATCTACCCCCAACAGGAAGGCGATGGCCTCGCTCACCATGCTCGTCGCCTCGACCATGTGGAACGAGAGGAATGCGCGAGTGTTCCGTCAGAAGAGTGCCCCACCGACGGTCCTACTCGCCAACATCAAGAAGGAGGCCATGCTTTGGGTAACTGCGGGTGCTAGAAAGTTGGGAAACTTGATGACGCGAGAGTAGTTGGTCAGCTTCATTTGTGTTGTTGCGATGTCTGTGTTGTAACACAACCATAAACTCTATTCCTCTTATCAAATGAATGAGGCAAATTTTTTGCCTGTCTTAAAAAAACAACTAATGGCTCAACGATGATCTCAATGAATATACAAGAAGTCCCAACAACAAGAAAGACACGGGCAAAACAAAACAACACATAAGACACACAAAGCATAATACCACATAAGACATGGGCTAAGATTGGCTCGGCTATTTGTTGTTTTGAAGTCGTGTGCGTGCGGCGGCAATCTAGGCTACAGGGTGATCCGTTCCATGGTCTCAGCCTTGCGCATCCCTCCTTCGCAGCTTGACATTAGAATCTGAGTTGCACCATCGTCAACGTGTGTGGCCGGTTGCTTGACATCGTTTTTTGTGTGGCTCATTGTTGTGTTGACTTCGTCTAGCAGGGTTTGGCGTTAGTTGCAGTCGCTTGCTTAGTGAAAAGTGATGATGGTGACACCAATGTGCAACCTTGACTTATTTTAAGGACGATGTTTTCTTCACATCGCTTTTTGTAATGTATTTGTTGTGTGACTGGACAGTTTTCTGGTAATTAACTGGGCAACTCACTTATAATTAACTAATAAAAATGATAAATATTTTGCTTTGTTTACAAAAAGTAATACACTAGAAATCTTCCTGCATGTTCCTATAGTCGTCTTATGGAATCTTTGGACACCTTTTTTTCAAAAAGGGAGGACTCCCCGGCCTCTGCATCAGAACGATCCATACAGCTACATTTATATATAAATAAAGAAGTTCAACAAGCATGTCTTATAGTCTGAAACCAAAATAACGGCAAGCTCACAAAGAGCCACAACGCCAAGAAACAAAAGGGCCAAAAGCCACAACCGGCTGATATAACAAAGATAGGTAAACTAATTGCCTATCATATTACATGACCGCCATCCAAACCGGTTGAAGATATCATGCGCTACCATCTCTCACCAGACAGATCCAGTAACCAAACGCTCCCTGGCCTCCGTCGGAGTGAGTAATGACCACATACGGATTAGCACAGTAGCTCGGAATAAAACCTGCAAAAAATGAATATTTGTTGTTCTGTTAAAAGCCAAATCATTTCTGCAATTCTAAATTGCCCACAACAAAGCACATACTCCTACACAAATGTGTCTAGCTGTTTCGGACTCTATCCCAACAAGCCACGTTCCAAATAACATACTGACCGAATTCGGAGGAGTAATGTTAAAGGCAATATGCACCGTGTGCCACAAAGCTCTTGCCAACGGGCAGTCAAAATAGAGGTGCTTGATAGTTTCGTCCCGACCACAAAAACTACACCTAGTACATCCTGTCCAGTTGCGCTTAACCAAATTATCCTTTGTTAAAATGACTTGTTTATGTACAAGCCACATAAACACTTTAATTTTCAAAGGAACTTTGACTTTCCAAACCTCTTTGGAACTAGGAGTGACACTAGAGTTAATGACATCGATATACATCGACTTAACTATGAACTCTCCAGACCTAGTGAGCTTCCAACACAACTGATCGGGCTGATGAGATAGTTGAACCTCCATCAGTCTACTCACCAAATGAAGCCATGCTTCCCACCGGTCATCAACAAGCGCCCTCCTAAACTGAATATTGAGGGGAATGGACTGCATAATCGTTGCAACAAGAGCATCACGACGTTGAACAATACGATACAGGGACAGATACTGAAGCGCCAACAGCGTTTCACCAAGCCAGGTATCCTCCCAGAAGCGAGTGGTGTTTCCATTACCGAGTATAAACTTTGTTCTATTAAAGAAGACAGCTTTGACTCTCATAAGCCCCTTCCAAAACGGCGAGTTCGTCAGTCTCATTGTCGCCTGGGACAACGTCTTGGACTGCAGATACTTACTACGGAGAATCTGCGCCCACGTGGCCTCGGTCTCAACTGATAGTTTATACAGCCACTTACTGAGAAGACATCTGTTCTTGACTTCAAGATTCTCGATACCAAGGCCCCCCTGGTCCTTTGGTCGACAGATGATATCCCATTTGGCGAGTCGGTATTTTCTCTTTAGTTCATCACTCTGCCAGAAGAACCGGGATTGATAGAAGTCCAGCCTTTTCCTAACACCAACTGGGACTTCAAAGAAAGATAAGAGAAACATAGGCATACTCGTGAGCATCAAATTAATAAGAATCAGTCGGCCTCCATATGACATGAGTTTGCCCTTCCAGCAACTCAGTTTCTTCTCAAACCGATCCTCGATGCACTTCCATTCTCTGTTTGTCAGCTTACGATGGTGAATTGGTATACCTAAGTACGTGAAAGGTAATGCCCCCAATTCGCATCCAAACAATTGCCTATAGGCCTCTTGTTCCTCATTGGCTCTGAATCTTTGGACACCTGGCCCATGTCTTCTTTACGCGACGCGATGCCAGAACCGACAACCACCACCATAAGAGGTAGGAACGTACGCTTCATCTAGAAAAGAGAAACTCCTCTGAAGCGTCAACTGGTTCGGCGCATGAGCGAGGCTTCGGTGTGTTAGAAGAAGTTGAGAACAGGATCAGACCGGTCGACATATACATGATAAATGTTTGAACCGGTGGCCGCATGACAACAACCTGTGAAGTGCAGCCACCTCTATGCTTTACTCCACCCAATCTATTCAATGTCGATCAGGTAGTTTAAACCAAAAGCCGACACAAAATCGAATGGCAGGCATAGTTTGTTTCTGTTTCGTGTTGACAACGGCGGTTGTAATCTGTGGGGGGTTCAGAGAACGCATGCCCACCGTTTTTTTCTTATCCAAGGCCATCTACAGGGAGCACCCTGCGAATTGAGAGGTAGGAGTACTCTTGAATAAGGCAAGAAAAATAGTGGAAATCATGCACACGCTACATACAAAGTTGTATGTACGTATGTATGTATGTATGTATATATGTAGTGTATCATGTAGAGTGGAGAGGAAGGAAGGAAGCATAGGGTCACCAGGCCCCAAATGCTTGCTGGATTCCAGTGGAGTGGAGGAGGTTGTTGTTGCTGCCCACTTGGCTTTATTTCCTACTGCTAGCCTCCAAAATCAGGATGAAGCCAAAACAGTCGTCGGATTTGGTGCGCAGTCCCCATCCTGCCCCGTCCTGCTCTCCCCACCGCGGTGGAGTACCATTCATCTTGCAAAACGCTAGCTCCAAACTCCTGCCTACAGTAAGTAATTAAGCCGCATGCATGATTTCAGGCGGGCAGGCAGGATCGAGATGCCATGATTCGGAAAGGGATGGTCGAGCAGTGAAGCAACAGGCAACAGCAGTTCCTGTACTGTGCTGTAACTGACCGGATTGCAGCGTCCGCAGATGATCGAGATGTTACCGAGCAAACAACACTGACCGACAGATATAGACTGGTCAGTTACTTACCTGTCATTGGTGTCACTCCAATTACTTACTTACCTGTCAAGTGATCCATCCGTCCGTCGATGTATACTCACATCAACGGACTCAAGATGCAAGGTAGGTGCTACGACAAGCTACAGCTGCTGCTTTCGTTTTCTCACTTCATCAACTGAAGACATAACGTATACACTACCGACGTTTGGTGGACAGTGGCACCTGCAATTAACTGACAGACGTCTCCGGCACACTTCACAGGTTCAGCTCAGTCCTCAGTGAAGCAAAAGCTTCTCCCGTTGACCTTTTCCCCTTCTTTTCTGCAATGAATTCGCTGAAAATGACGCTGCAGCTTGCCTGCCGTTTCCATGGATGGACGTCGCTGTTATACTTGTCACTTGTCACTAGGTGGCTGCTGCTGCCCAAAGGTCTCATCTTTCCCTCGCAAGAAAGAAGAAAAGGTCTCATCTTTCAGCTTTTGTACCGTTGCCGCCTGACGCCGCACCCACGCCCGGCTCGATCGCAACGTCGCAACCTCACCCGAGCTTAATTGGAAACCCGCGTGACCCCGAACCCGTCGCTAATGGCGATCGTCACCGCCGTTGTAATCCGGTCGCGGTGGTTTCACCGTAGCCATGGACGGGACGCGACGTCACGTCACTATCTCCCCCGCTACTTAACCAATCGGGCGTGCCGGGGTAGGGACGCCCGCCTCCAGCCGCAGTCCACGAACCCATCGCTACAGCGGTGCGGCCTCGCCTCACCCACCCACCCACATCACCACCGCCGAAAAAGAAGATCCCGGGCAAGCGGCGACCGAGGAAGGATGCCGTCTGCGCGGCCGGCGGCGTTACTCGTCGCGGCCGTGTTCCTGTGGTGGTCGGGGGCCGGCGCGCTGGCGGACGGCAACGGCACGGTGTGCCTGTGCACGGGTCCGCAGTGCGTGCCGCCCTGCCCTGTCCCGGGGACGACGCCGCCGACGACGTCGCCGATGCAGTTCCCCTTCTGCCCGCAGCGGCCGCCGGCGGTCGGGCCCTTCCCGTGGGAGCAGCAGCCGCCGGCGTCGCCGAGGTCGGGGTCGGGGTTCCCTCAGGACGCGGGGTTCCTCGCGGCGGCGGCGGCCAGCCCCACTAGCACGTCGGCATGGCTGGCGGTGGCCGCCTTGTGGTCTGCTTTCCTGCTGCTCCTGCACTAGTAACCATCTATCTGGCTAGCTCATCCACCCCTGTAGATTGACGGATGTTGTCTGAATACTGAGCGGCTGCTGTGCTGATGTCTGAATCTATATGTATGTAATTCTAGGTCTTGAGTTCAATTCTAAAGGCTATGAACAAACAATCTAAGAAGGATTGGTTGGGTTCCTCCTTTCTGCATCCTGTTCTTGTTGCTCCCTTGATTTGTTTGTTCATGGATGCAATAACTTTTAACTTTTCGTTGCAACTGGATGCTGGGGCTCTGCCAGATCAGATATAATAGAGATAGAGTACTGCCATTTGGATCTGTGTATGTATGATTGGTGCTTTATGAGATGCATGGTCTGGAACATGCATATATTCTTTCTTGAGAATATTATTAACTCTTGGCAGCACTGTTGGACGCTGGTATCATCTTGTAGTGCTGTCAGACATGGCAATGGCCAAACAGTCTTTCAGAGCACAAGCCCATGCTTCGCCAGTTCCTGGGGTAAGCACAGGGAGCAATTGCCGCTGCAGTTTAATCGGTCCTTATGTGATGAAACATTGCACTTCATCTCCGAAATGAGAAAAGAAAAATCCCACCAAAAGAAGAAAAAAAAGTGCAGCAGATCCATTATCTAGTACAGTGTGCTAGGCCCCTGGTTCATTCATTCATTTGTTTGTTGCGGCCACAGTAACTGCAAAATAATTCCCAATCTTGTCTCAGAAAAACAAAGTATCTGAAGAAGAAGAAGAAGAAGAAGAAGAAGAAGAGAAATCATTACTGAACCTACGGTTACTAGTATACCTGTGAACCGAATCAGATTCCACTGCCTCAGGTTCTGAAGAAACATGAATGCGGGTAGAACTGAATAGGAGTACCAAATGCTGCCATCAAAGCAAATTAGGTGCCACATCAAGAAAGAAAGAAACTTTTCCGTTTGGCCGCCATCACTGAAGCGTCAAGGCCTCAACCAAATCCCTCGCCATCACCGAGGAATAAACCAGCAGAAGATGAAGATGATTAATGGGGAGGGGGTAATCTCCTGTCAGGAACCTAACGTAACTGAAGCAATTGAAATCCAATGTAATTTAGGAGCGTCATTAAGAAACTGCCATTTGGCAGGGAGTTACTCATCACCCGTAGGAGCGTTTCCGGAGCGGACATCACTGAAGCGTCACCCACTGACGCGTCAAGGCCTCGACCAAATCTCTCGCTGTCACCAACGAAATAACAAGAGCAGAAGATGAAGGTGATGAGGCGCCTCCAACGTTCTGAAGAACCACTCGCTAATTGCCGACATGATCTTTAATTAGTTCCGCGCCATACACTAGAGGCACCACGTAGCAAGTAGTATCTCACAGTTCCCAGTCTCGATTCCAAGAATATCAAATTGTGCAGATAGATACAGCAAGAAATGAAAAACATTCCGGTCACTTTCAGCGGTCGACTAGAAGATAAAAGATGCAGAGAAAGATGTGTGTTCTTCCTTTCCGGTGGTGGTGGTGGTGGTAGTAGTAGGGCTGTAGGGTAGGATCAATCGACTCGACTGGGATAATCATGTTCTCAGAAGATGGAGCCGTTTGAATCACGTCACCTTTTTCTGCAAGGACCTCAACAAACATTGGTCCATCCGTGATATGATTATTAGTCCAAAGCTGTACGTATAATGCAGCATGCTTAGCTTGGCCACCGGAAAGATATTCTGCCGCTTGGGTAGCTACCTGCTAGAATACACCCACGCACGCACACGCTGAGAGCAGAGGGAAAGACGACGACGACCGGCCTCCACCGCACCACTCCACTCCACAAAGCCCAACCGCTAAAGCGCCGAGGCCGACCATTATAACCCACACAAATTCCCCACCGAGAGGAGAGAACCGCGAGCCGAGCCGAGCACACCAAAAAGGAGAGGAGGAGGAAGAAGCTAGAGAGTCGCGCAGCTAGAGAGCACGGCCGCAGGAAAAGCTCGAGCTTTTCTTGCTTTCGGCGCCATGGCGAGGTGGACGGTGCAGCTGCTGGTGGTGCTCCTCGCGGTGACCGTGGCGGTGGCGGACGACAGCGGCGAGAAGTGCACGGGCGAGTGCGGGAACCCGTGCGGCATCCCGTGCACCTACTCCAGCCCGCCGCCGCCGGAGCCGGCGCTGCCCCCGCCCGTCTACTACCCGCCGCCGGCGCCCGTGTACTCGCCGCCGCCTCCCGAGGCCGTCTACCCGCCGCCCACGCCCACGGCCGACTGCCCGCCGCCCCCCACCGAGGGCTACACGCCCGCGCCCTACACGCCCACGCCGTCCACGCCGTCCGGTGGCTACACCCCGACGACGCCCTCCGGCGGGTACAATCCGACTCCGTCGGGTGGCGGGTACAACCCCACGCCGTCCGGCTGGTTCACGCCGCCCAACTTGCCGTCCTACCTCACCCCGCCCGGCCCGCTCTACCCTCAGGACCCCGGCTTCCGGCCCAACGCCGCGCCGGGCCTCTCCGCGTCATGGCGCGCGGCGACCCTCGCGGCTTTCACGGTCGCCGGCGCCCTGGCCTTGTGATCGCCACCGGCCGACGCACCGATCGCGCCATGCCAAGGTACACGCACGCGTCGCCCGAAGGCATGGGGCTAGCAGCTGCACCGATCGATCCATGGAAGCAGGCGGCGTGGTCACCATGGTAACCTTGAAGCGCGCGCATGCATGGCGTACGTTTTAATTGAATTCCGTTGATTCCGTGTTGATAATAAGTAAGGTTAGGGGAAGCAGGTCGATCCATCTCGGTGTTAATAATTTTTTTGAGTTTTCATTCGTGCTGTGTTCATGTTCATGCCGTACATCGGCGTCGGCAGATGAACCGTTCTTGTCATGTACGTAAGTTGGGTCTCGTCTTTTACTTTGGTCAATCATATAATAGGAAGGGAAAAGGATCACTACATGTTCATCAGACGATGTGATACTGATACATTATATATGCCTCTGATTACTCACGCTACTTGAATTCTACTCCATGTTTCATGTCTCATCTTCTTTGATCGACATGGTATGTTTCTCCCATGAACACCAACTCGATCATGCACCATGGCCCATGCATGCCTCCATGGTGCTGATTGAATTCTTGCTTTTGCCATCCCGATCAATGTGTGCAACCTAACTAACCTTTGTGTTAGGTACATTAACTAACTAGCCAGTGTTAACACTTTGAGCATCCGCACATGCGTTGCACCGGCCGGTACATGCACGCACGCACACGCCATCCGATCATTCTCCACCTAAAGTTCAGTAGCATTTTCATCCATGAACAAGCTAGTGGCCGGTCGACGAGATCGATCGATGAAGAGAGCAAACTAGGCCATCAATGGCGAAAAGCAATGTGCCGGGCGGTGCGGAAATGTGTGCGCGCTTGCCGTGCGTCGTGGCAAACGTGTCGACGTCCGAGACGAAGGGGTCGCCGTCGATGGATATGCACATTGATCGGCGGTTGCGGCGTCGCTGTCCGTCGACCGCCATGGTTTCAATTCCTCCAGGCGTGCAAACGTACGTACGCAGTCGCACCCAAGGCAAATCATTGATGCGTGTGCAGTGCAAGTATGTACAGTGTAGTAGTACATCATTGGAACTTCGGACTGACGGAAGCTTTGCATGAGTCTCTCATCGAACTGCCACGCTGGAACTATGAGCTGCACCAGAGGAGTGACACATAGGCATGCATGCACACGTGGCAGGGCCTGATAATACTCCCTCCGTTTTTATTTACTTCGCATATTAGAGTTGACTGAAGTCAAACTTCGTAACGTTTGACCAAGTTTATAGAAAATAATATAAACATTTACCATAACAAATTTATACTATGTGAAAGTGCATTCAATAATAAATCTAATGATGTTGATTTGTTATCGTATATGTTAATATTTTTGCTTATAAAATTGGTCAAAGTTTACAAAGCTTGACTTTGACCAAAGCTAATACGCGAACTAAATAAAAACGGAGGGAGTACGTAATAAAAGGTGAAACGGACAGGAGTGACGGTAAATAAGTACCCTATGTTCGAGCTGGGAGCAAAGTCTGTCATGCATCGCCATGCCATTTTGTCTACACGAAAAAGAGGCATAGTCTTTTGGACCGTGGAGCGGCTAATTTATTCTGCGTATAATTGACACAAGGTGGCGCCTTTGGCGTACTAGTGGTGTACGTACTCTCTTTGACTAATCGTCTAGAGGAGTACGTAGAGCTGCCCTCCCTTTTTGTTGTACAAAAAACGCTTAAAGCTATTTGAAATGTGGTAAGCAGCCGCGGATGGATTTGTTCTGCGTAGTATCACTTTTGGCGCGTGTACGTACGTGCCTTTTCGGCCTTAATTAGAGAATATGTACCGGGAGAAAGCGACGCTCTGTTTCTTTCTGCCAACAAGATAATAATAACTAGTGTATGAGAAGAGAAGAGAAGAATGTCACGCCTCACCCTCCCCACTGCAGGCCCACATTTCAAGTGCTCAATAATGCATGCCACTCTATCATCTATCAAGATATATCACACATTACTATGTGCACCGGGGAGGCTATGATGTTTTGGCCTGCGGATCGAAACGATCCGCGATCTTGCGGATCGCCATCCGCCGTTCCTACATGTCTTAACTGCGATGGCGACAATGAGGACGTCAACCGAGTTCATCATGTCAGTAGGTCTCTCGTTCCGTTGTTTGATCGTGTCGTTCTCCCTCGATCGAGAGCATGTTCGCCGATCTTATCTTCTCACCTGTTTGGCTGGGTGGCTCATGTGGCTCTCCAAAGCCTTTGAGGTTAATTAGACCGGCTTGTGTTTGTTTGGTCTTCTGCGGTTTTTCACTGGATGTATGGAGTAGATTCGAGGTGTAATGCAAGAGGGTAGACATATAGTTGACATCTTTGCATTGCATGGCCCGCCTTACGACCCATCTCGCCATGCTCCTCCCATCGGCGATACCAGTCCAAAGTTTTTTTTTCGAAACGGAATACCAGTGCAAAGTAAGACCACCACGGTGAGATCGAGACACGAAACC